TCGTTAGTCGGGTGGGCGAGACGTCGTTAGTTATGTGCGCGAGACGTCGTTAGTCAGGTGTGCGCGAGCCGTCGTTAGTCAGGTGTGTGCAAGACGTCGTTAGTCAGGTGCGCACGAGACGTCGTTAGTTATGTGCGCGAGACGTCGTTAGTCAGGTGTGCGCGAGCCGTCGTTAGTCAGGTGTGTGCGAGACGTCGTTAGTCAGGTGTGTGCAAGACGTCATTAGTCAGGTGCGCGCGAGATGTCGTTAGTCAGGTGTGTGCAAGACGTCGTTAGTCAGGTGTGCGCGTGCCGTCGTTAGTCAGGTGTGTGCAAGACGTCGTTAGTCAGGTGTGCGCGTGCCGTCGTTAGTCAGGTGTGTGCAAGACGTCGTTAGTCAGGTGCGCGCGAGACGTCGTTTGTCAGGTGTGCGCGAGACGTCGTTAGTCAGGTGCGCGCGAGACGTCGTTAGTCAGGTGTGCGCGAGAAACCGTTAGTCAGGTGCGTGCGAGAAGTCGTTAGTTAGGTATGCATAATTAGTGATGAAGCCCTAATCCCTGCATCTCCTCCCCAAACACTCGTTACAATCCGCCCACCAGCCCATCTTCCCTCTGACCCCAAGACATGCCCAACCACCCACATCTCAAGCAATTTCTCCGAACCAGGGGGGGGATACTTCCTGATATGCCCCCTCCCCCTTATTTAATACCAAAGTGACCCCCTCCCACTTATTCGATACCAAAGTGACCCCCTCCCCCTTATTCGATACCAAAGTGACCGCCTCCAACTTATTCGATACCAAAGTGACCCCCTCCCCGCTTATTCGATACCAAAGTGATCCCCTCCCCCTTATTCGATACCTAAGTGACCCCCTCCCCCTTATTCGATATTAAAGTGACCCCTTCCCCATTATTCGATACCAAAGTCACCCCCTCCCCCCTAATTCGATACCAAAGTAACCTCCTCCCACTTATTCGATACCAAAGTGACCACCTCCCCCCTTATTCGATACCAAAGTGATCTCCCTCCCCCTTATTCGATACCCAAGTGACCCCCTCCCCCCTTATTCGATAATCAAGTGACCCCTCCCCCATTATTCGATACCAAAGTGACCCCTTCCCCTTTATTCAATATCAAAGTGACCCCCTCCCCCATTATTCGATACCAAAGTGATCTCCCTTCCTTAACCGGGCAAAGTGACGTCCCATCACCCCCTGTGGAGAACTGGGCAAGCGACGCAGACACATGCACCCACTACACACGCGACAGCAAAGAACCGTCACCGAGACACGACGCGAACGACAGAGAAAGCTGCCAAAAGAGGGCGTCGCTTCGCCATGCGTCACGCTTTCGCGACGGTCGTCGGATCAAAGGAGAAGAAGAGAAGAGCGTTGTTCACCTTTGCGGTTCAGCGATCCCCGTTCGTCTGTTGTCGAGGGTCGGCGCGTGAAACGCAAAAACGAAACGGCGCGATGGCGATGAGCGACACACATTTCACGGACGCACACGCGATGCGAAATTGTGTCGGCATTCTCCCACGAGATCTCGCGAGATTTCACGCCAAGAATATCACACGGTATCTCGCGATATCTCCCGAGATACCGCGCAAGAAGTATCGCAAGATCCCGCGAGATTTTTTTGCAGGAGTTTTCGCAAGATCCCTACGCAAGATCTTGGAAGATTGCAAGAGACTTGTTGTCATTCTTACACGAGATCTCATGATACTTCTCTCCACACAATCTATTTACGCAAAACATTTAAACATTTACGTTAGTTACGTTACCCACACAAAGCTTTTCAATCATAAAACTTACAGGCATGAATAACATTGCCATAACCTACAGGTGGCAGCACTATCGGCGCGCACAAAAACAACTACAATCACCGAACTTCGAACACCGAAACATCGAGAATTCACACGAATTATCTAAACTAAACGTGAAATCTAAGAGCATGCAAAGGTTTCTCTGCGACGACGCAAGAGTGTAAACGTGACGACGAAAAGGGTGAAGAGAAAACACGCGTGCAGGGTTAATCGCCGAGCGAACAACTGTCTCTACGGCCTACCTAGATAGACGAGAATCTACTCTACGTGGCTAGAATGCAGTACAGAGAGGCAGTCTCTCCCAGAGTAACCCAAGCAGCAAGCACCAACAGCTCCCGCCATGCCGGTCTCTACCCCTCCCCCCTCTCACCTCCCACCACCCCGGCTAGACATCAACGCCCCCCCCCCCTAGGTAGAGCCACACGCACTAGGTTCTCGCAGCAGACAGGGACGGCGTGGCAGTTCGCGTGCGACGGCAGAAGTGCGGACGATGACGAGTAGGAAGCACATGCGTGCAGGTGACGACTATGGCGCCACCTGACGGCGGTCTGCCATCGTAACCATGCACAGATTTCTGATGATGATGTACGAGAAATACGATGCCAGCCGCGTGACGTTGTAGGCAAGGTGCGACTGATATACACACATGCAGAGGAGAGAGAGAGAGAGAGAGAGAGAGAGAGAGAGAGAGAGAGAGAGAGAGAGAGAGAGAGAGAGAGAGAGAGAGAGAGAGAGAGAGAGAGAGAGAGAGAGAGAGAGAGAGAGAGAGAGAGAAGAGAGACAGAGAGAGAGAGAGAGAGAGTGTGAGAAACAGGGGGTAGCGCAAGATAGAGATAAAGGGGTAGCGCACACGAGAGAGAAACAGAGAGAGGGGGTAGCATGAGAGAGATAGGGAAGGCGGAGAGAGGTGCATCACAATAGGTAGTGTGTTACGGTACGACAGCTAGATTAGATATATAGAAGACGTGACGCATCAGTCATGATACAACCACAGAAACATCTCACATTCACTAGCCACCAGATGGCGACACGGTTCACGTGCAGACACGTGTCTGCAGCTGCATCTATGCAGCATTAACAATTGATTACAGAATTTCTGATCAAAATGACATTATAGCCACCTATGAAAAAAAGCTGATGTTAATTATGTATGTATGTATATATATATATATATACTTTCTTATGTTAATAATATTAACATTAGGCACGTGAATTGAGCTATCTGCCTGCTAAAGTGATTGAGAGGCAGCTCTAGCCAATCACTGTTTTGATAGGACGTTCTAAAAGACAATGCTTGGCAACTATGTGCCTCAAGGTCACATTCATGTCATTTTTCATTTGCCAACTCGACGTGCAAATGAAAAGTATATAAGGTAGTCTAGTCTTGGCCGACTAAGCTGATCTTGGCAACAATATCCACAAGTGTGGTGTGCTTATCTTGCTCAGACAGATAGGTCAATTCAAATTCAACGTTACCACGACGACCGACCAAAGCACTACATAGTCTGTCACCATGGCAACACAGCGCCTGCATCGATTGGCCGACAAAACAGACGTGAGGCAACGCCACCTGTAGGGGCGAAGCCGCGTCATTGTCGTTGGCGCGAGTGCGCTCACCTTCTATCTTTGCATACGAAGAGATTCGCGTGTAATTGACGAGAGCGGCATTCTCCAGGCATTTCTTGATCACTGCCCTTACCTCCTCTGGTGGCACTGGCGTCACAATGTCCTTCATGAGTACCTGTGGCGGAGAGAGGGGGGGAAGGAGAGGCCATGAGGAGGGTCACGCATTAAATGTTTAATGCATATAACTCATATTGAATTCATATTAAATGTACAGGTATTACATCAAGAGCTAATAATACCTAGAGCGTACAACGAAAAAACGGGAAAATAGTGCTATTTCACGACAACATTATTCTACTTTGCCTGCGAGTCTAGAATAATTTTATGGTATTGCATTAAGTAGAATTCTTTGCTCTCTAAAACAAGAACAACCGCTTGTCAATACGATACTCCTAGGCTGAGATATTGGCTCCTAAACCTCCCCTCCCACATGCCTTACGCCGCCTCGCATCCAGCTTATTCACCAACCTACACGCCCCTAAGCATTTTGGCTATCGGTTTCGGTCACCGCTTGGAGCGCTGATAATTGATGTCACATGCCCAAATTTGGTACTCTTACTACACCATATAGTAACTGAGCTGCGTTGTGGAGAATTAATTAAGAAAACATTGCCGGCTCCATCATGACGGGCATTAGCCATGCTAGGAAAGATAATGGGAGATAAGGGCATAGGCGATGCCCCCGAAAGTCACCGAAATGCCGTTCATTCATAAAGTTATCGCGGAAAAAACCGAACTCTCACGAAGCAACCTTAGAGGTGTGTAGGTTGGTGAATAAGCTGGATGCGAGGCGGCGTAAGGCATGTGGGAGGGGAGGTTTAGGAGCCAATATCTCAGCCTAGGAGTATCGTATTGACCAGCGTTGTCTGTTGAGACAGCAAAGAATTCTGCTTAATTGTCAATACCATAAAAATATTCTAGACTCGGCAGGCAAAAGTAGAATAATGTTGTCGTGAAATAGCACAATTTCCCGTTTTTTCGTTGTACACTCTAGGTATTATTAGCTCTTGATTTACATGCATATATGTTACATGTTCATATTGGGATGTGTGTGTGTATGTACATGTACATGTAACAGTATACGTATGTAACCAAGAACACAGTACTAACGTTTAGAAAGAGTAGGAAGGTGACTGGGGCGTAGTTTGCAAAAGTCCCTCCTCTCTACCATTCACAGTCAGCAAGCACGCACAGCGCCCTCTAGTGCTACTCACCCTCTCCAGCAGGGAGAGCGTTGCCTTCAGCGCCCCCTCAGGTCGGCCGAAGGGAAAGCAGTACCTGCAAAGATATAGAGGCGTGACCGATGACTGACAGACCGATATGTGGATGGCAAGTGACGATGTAAACAAGATAGAATAAACAGTTGGCAGAAGAAAGATTACAAATAAATGTGACGATTAAATAAGAAAATAAAACGTAAAACAAGTCCGCAGATGCGACAGCGCCCCAGACGAGCAAGTGTTCTGATGCATAAACTCACTGGCCAAACGAAGAAGAGCACGCGTCCACTCCCGACGGCGTCGTGCTCAGAGCAATATCTAAGGAAACTACTATACAAGATCTAAAATTATGATAGCTAGGCTTTGCTATACATCGGTAGTACAGTAATAAAGATACCAGCTGTGACTTCGCTAACTAATACATGTTAATGATTGGATATGTGCCGAGCGCGAGCGTAGTGTGGTGGGGGGAGAGTGGGGAGGGGCGGTGAAGGATGCCTAATAGCAAAAGCAGTGTCCGCGAGATGGCGCGTGCAAGTGCAATTCAATAATCAAAGATGGGATCACCCTTCGTGCGTGATAACCTTCACTCCATTGAGTTGCAGGCAGGGCAGGAGTATATTCAGCAAAGGAGAATTTCGCTCAGCGTGAGTTAACACAGTCTGCATTGCAGGTTATTATGATTAGAATAATTATGATTAGAATAGTGCCAGTTCACGCCCCATGCATGCGTAATGGCTGCCCCCATGTTTTTTGCCTACACACAACGAGCAGTCAGGGTTCAATTACAGTGTGCGTAATTACAGGTGCTACTCAGTGTGCTAATACAGAAGACTGCTTTAGAAAATAAATGATTTAAGGAGCGTAAAGGCTTGTTCAACAAACATTTGCCTTTGCAATTGTACTGTGGCAACTGTAGCCTCACATCCACAATAGCAAAAGCGTTCAGGCCTTTGTTAACAGTCAACAAATCCATGTTAAACCCTCCTCATTGAGGGTCAAAAGGTTATCCGACAGCTTACTCTTCGCATGTCAGCAGAAGGGACATTTCATGGTCCTTTCATAAAGCCAATAAAAATGCTAGTCACCGCTGAAACAAAAAAGTTTTTTTCAATCGCTCACGTCAGACCATTGTCCTCAGAAAAATGTAATAAAAATCGGCCCTGTGCCCACTGACGGCAATTTGCACCTGTGACCTTCCAATTTCGGCACAGTGATGGCTTTTTCCTTACCATGATGCTATACCACCGACTATCACGAGCCTAGGTCGAGCCGTTTAGATTGTCCGCAATTCTGGGCATTTCCTCCCTATACCTTAAGTTAAGGAGTGAATGTATCCCGCCTTAATTTTACCACCTCTTGACCTTTGACCTTTGACCCCCAGCTTCGACATCCCAACTTCGTTTTCGATTAGCCGCCCCCACATCCCGAATATCGTGACCGGTACGTCGAGCGCGTTAAATTTGTGCCCAACTGTTTGACGCCCGACGCACGGACGATCGACGGACGATCAGCGATTCTACAAGCTGCATCTGACTATGTCAGATGAGCTAATAATAACTATAATATGAAATAACTAGAGCACTCGGAGAGCACAGATCTCCGCCAAGGCAGCTGAATTCTCTCAATGTGAAATCTTTCATTAATTAATTAAGTAGAAAAATTAATTAATTAATTAATTAAATAATTTAATTGGATCTGAATCACTACCAAATGTAATCAATTCTAAGTTACCCCATTTTGACCTATCCTGAAAATTTTATTAATTAATGAATGAATGAATTTAATTAATTGGATCCGATCAACCACCAAAATCTCATCAAATTCTAAGTTAGCCCATTCTCTGATGACTATCCTGAAATTTTATGACAATCCGTCCATAACTTTTTCAGTTAGAGCTAACTTGTAATGATACAGGCGGTTCCGGTGTGGCGGCGGCGGCGGGCCAATCAGCCAATCAGCGAGCGTGCACAAACCCACAAACCAACACTCAAACACATGCTGGTGAAAACATAACCTTCGCCAAGCCCTTGGCGGAGGTAATAATGATTAATAATTATAATATTCAAAACTAATAACTCGTAACATTATTATAATATACCATGAACATTTGAATTTCATTAAAATGAAAGAAGAAAACGTGAAGCAAGCAATTTATTCGCTCATGCACACGAAACATTGCCGAGAAAACAAAAGACCAGAATTCGCCGATGGAATACCTCGCGCAATGACACATCCCTGAATCAGAGAACCCATGCGAGACAAGCGAACGTCGCATGCTCGCGCGGCGCCCCCTACCTGAAGTGCGTGATCTGGTTCTCGAGCAGGATGCGCAGCCTTTCCTTGATCTCCTCAAACTGCTCCCTCTCCTCATGCAGCACCGTGCCTATCCCGTCAGGCCTGTGCATGAGAGCAAAACACACACACGGGAGTCACTAACGAGTAGTTAACAAGCAGTTAACGAACGGTTAACAACCTAAACTGCTCCCTCTCCTCGTGCAGCACCGTGACTATCCCGTCAGGCCTGCGCGCGAGAGCAAAACATACATGTAGGTTACAAACGAGCGGCTAACGAATGGCTAACGAGCGGATCCTTGTTAGGGTCATCAGTATACGACGATGGTCACAGGTGATTAATCTAAAACATTGCAACTACGATGCTGCTCAATTATTACCGATTTTTACACTTGAATTTGCAAAATTGTGTGGAACTGCTGAATGTTATTATTACTAATTATTGAGTTTAAAATTATGATTATTATCATTGTTATTATTATTACAACTACAAACACTAATATTAATAAGATAATCATCATCATCATCATCATCAACAACATCATCATCATCAACATGAGCATCATCATCATCATCATCACCATCACCACCACCAACACCATCATCAACATAATCACCATCACCATCACCATCACTATCATCATTGTCATTGTCGTCATGACGGTTACTAGATGGCGCCACCATGTCGGCGTGGCTGCTCACCTGTTGCCGTGCACGTGTGAGGCGCAGAATGCGAAGCTGTAGTGTATGAGTGTGGGGTCGATCATGCAGCCCTGCTCAGCGCGGTTGAGCAGCTCAGCTAGGTACTGCAGGTGTCTGTAGCAGCCGCGTACGCCGTAGCGCGCACAGTACTCATCCAGCACGACCACCTGTCCCGGGCTGAACCATCCCTGTAACACACACATACATACACACATACATGTACATGCCTGCCCCGGGCTGAACCATCCCTGTAACACACACATACATACATACATACATGTACACGCCTGCCCCGGGCTGAACCATCCCTGTAACACACCCATACATACATACATACATGTACACGCCTGCCCCGGGCTGAACCATCCCTGTAACACACCCATACATACATACATACATGTACACACCTGCCCCGGGCTGAACCATCCCTGTAACACACCCATACATACATAAACATAGCATGTACAACGCCTGCCCGGCTAAACATGTCCCGGTAACATAAATTAGCGGACACCATACATACATACATACTAGCATGTAACGCCTGCCCCGGGCTGAACCATGCCATGTAACACACACAATACATACTACACCATACATGTACTACCTCGCCCAGCCCCGGCTGAACCATCCCCTGTAACACCACCGCATGGACATACATACATACTATACATACCATTCCTACCGCCTGCCCGGGCTGAACCATCCCTTTACACAGCCGGGACCATAGATACATACATACAGTACATCGCCTGAACACAGGCTGAACACATCCCTGTAACACACCCATAAATACATAGCATACATACATGTACGACGCCCTGCCGGCGAACCATCCCTGTAACTCCGATCAAATACATGTACACATACTGTACATGCTGTCCCAGCTGAACCATCCTGTATCATCACCCATACACACATACACACATGTTCACGCTGCCGGCACAGGCTGAACTCATCCCTTAAAACACACACACATCACATAGCATACTACATGTACCGCTGCCAGAGCTGAACCATCGCTTATACACACCATATACTATGTACACTACAGTGTACATGCCTGCCCGCAGGCTGAATCCCATCCCTTACACACACACACATACAACTATCATTTGTACACGCCTGCCCGGGCTGAACCATCCCCTGTAAAGCACACACAACCATACCACACATACATGTAGCAGCGCCTGCCCCGGGCTGAACCATCCCTGTAACACATACATACATACATAATGTACACGCCTGCCCAAGGCTGAGCCATCCATGTAACACACACATACATACATACACACATACATACATGTACATGACTAACCCGGGCTGAACCATCCCTGTAACACACACATACATGTACACGCATGCCCCGGGCTGAACCATTCCTGTAACACACACACATACATACATTCATACATACATACATACATACATACATACATGTACACGCCTGCCCCGGGCTGAACCATCCCTGTAACACACACATACATGTACACGCCTGCCCTGGGCTGAACCATCCCTGTAACACACACATACATACATACATGTACACGCCTGCCCCGAGCTGAACCATCCCTGTAACACACACATACATACATACATACATGTACACGCCTGCCCCAGGCTGAACCATCCCTGTAACATCCCATACATACATACATACATACATGTACATGCCTGTCCCAGGCTGAACCATCCCTGTATCACACCCATACACACATACACACATGTTCACGCCTGCCCCAGGCTGAACTATCCCTGTAACACACACACACATACATACATGTACACGCCTGCAACATGTACACGCCTGACCCGGGCTGAACCATCCCTGTAACACACACATACATGTACACGCCTGCCCCGGGCTGAACCATCCCTGTAACACACCCATACATACATACATACATGTACACGCCTGCCCAAGGCTGAACCATCCATGTAACNTACGTACATACATACATGTACACGCCAGCCCCGGGCTGAACCATCCCTGTAACACACCCATACACACATACATACATGTATACGCCTGCCCCGGGCTGAACCATCCCTGTAACACACACACATACATGTACACGCCTGCCCCGGGCTGAACCATCCATGTAACACACCCATACATACATACATACATGTACACGCCTGCCCCGGGCTAAACCATCCCGGTAACACACCCATACATACATACATACATACATGTATACGCCTGCCCCGGGCTGAACCATCCATGTAACACACACACATACATACACACATACATGTACACGCCTGCCCCGGGCTGAACCATCCCTGTAACACACCCATACATACATACATACATACATACATACATGTACACGCCTGCCCCGGGCTGAACCATCCCTGTAACACACCCATACATACATACATACATACATACATACATACATGTAAACCCCTGCCCCGGGCTGAACCATCCCTGTAACGCACACATACATACATACATGTACACGC